TGATAACTATATTCTACCCACTTCAAGACTCTGCTCCAATATAGAAGCATCAAGAAATATGGGCCAATAGGGCCTCTGCAATTACTTCCATTATTACCTTCAATACCCATTGTTTCGTGTTCAATCCTGTGTTGAAAGTTTTGTTCGCCTCATCCAAAACTGTTGTAACATATCACCTCACCCAAAATGCGGGTATAAAATGAAAAATGAAAGCTGTTTAAATCATAGCATAAGTAAGAATTCTGTTTAGTGTTTGCAGGTAATAGTTGTGTGTGTGTAAACTAAAAGTCTTTGAAAATGTAATAAGTTATTACGAAACACGTTCAAGTGTCGCGTCAGACTAGAAATAAAAATGAATTTTGGAGAATTGATTTTTCAATTACCATCAACAGTGAAAAGAAACATAAGAAAGATCGAAAAAATTCGTGTTAGAATTATTAATCTTACTTTTTCGGTCATATATATATATATATATATATATATATATATGTGTGTGTGTGTGTGTGTGTGTGTGTACTCACCTAGTTGTGTCTGCAGGATCGAGCATTGACTCTTGGATCCCGCCTTTCGAGTATCGGTTGTTTACAGCAATGACTCCTGTCCCATTTCCCTATCATACCTGGTTTTAAAATTATGGATAGTATTTGCTTCCACAACCTGTTCCTAAAGTGCATTCCATTTTCCCACTACTATCACACTAAAGAAAACTTCCTAACATCTCTGTGACTCATCTGAGTTTCAAGCTTCCATCCATGTCCCCTCGTTCTGTTACTATTCCGTGTGAACATTTCGTCTATGTCCACTCTGTCAATCCCTCTGAGTATCTTATACGTTCCTATCATGTCCCCCCTCTCCCTTCTTCTTTCTAGTGTCGTAAGGCACAGTTCCCTCAGGCGCTCCTCATACCCCATCCCTCGAAGCTCTGGGACGAATCTCGTTGCAAACCTCTGAACCTTTTCCAGTTTCATTATATGCTTCTTCAGATGGGGACTCCATGATAAGGCGGCATACTCTAAGACTGGCCTCACGTAGGCAGTGTAAAGTGCCCTAAATTCCTCCTTACTTAGGTTTCTGAATGATGTTCTAACTTTTGCCAGTGTAGAGTACGCTGCTGTCGTTATCCTATTTATATGTGCCTCAGGAGATAGATTAGGTGTTACGTCCACCCCCAGGTCTCTTTCACGCGTCGTCACAGGTAGGCTGTTCCCCTTCATTGTGTACTGTCCCTTTGGTCTCCTATCTCCTAGTCCCATTTCCATAACTTTACATTTGCTCGTGTTGAATTCCAGTAGCCATTTCTCTGACCATCTCTGCAACCTGTTCAGGTCCTCTTGGAGGATCCTGCAATCCTCATCTGTCACAACTCTTCTCGTCAACTTTGCGTCATCCGCAAACATCGACATGTAGGACTCTACGCCTGTAAACATGTCGTTAACATATACAAGAAATAGAATTGGTCCCAGCACCGATCCCTGTGGTACTCCACTTGTTACTGTTCGCCAGTCCGACATCTCGCCCCTAACCGTAACTCTTTGGCTCCTTCCTGTTAGGTAGTTCCTTATCCATGCTAGGACCTTTTCCCCCACCCCCGCCTGCCTCTCAAGCTTGAACAGCAGTCTCATGTGTGGTACTGTATCAAAGGCTTTTTGGCAGTCCAGAAATATGCAGTCTGCCCAACCATCTCTGTCCTGTCTTATCCTCGTTATTTTATCATAGAATTCCAGAAGGTTTGTTAGGCACGATTTCCCTGTCCAGAACCCATGTTGATGTTTGTTCACAAACATAATGTTCTCCAGGTGTGCAACCAGTCGTAGCCTAATTATTCTTTCCAGTATTTTACAGGGAATGCTTGTCAGTGATACAGGTCTATAGTTAAGTGCCTCCTCCCTATCACCTTTCTTGAAGATCGGCACGACATTTGCCTTCTTCCAGCAACTGGGCAATTCTCCTGACATAAGTGACTCATTAAAGATCATTGCCAGAGGCACGCTGAGGGCCTGTGCTGCTTCTTTTAGTATCCACGGTGATACTTTGTCTGGTCCAACTGCTTTAGTTGCATCTAGAGTTGTCAACTGTTTCATTACCTCCTCTGCTGTCACCTCTATATCTGATAGTCTTTCATCTAGGGTAACCCCTTCCAACAAGGGGAGCTGCTCAGGCTCGGTAGTGAACAGTCCACGGAAACTGGCATTCAGTGCCTCGCAGATTTTCTTGTCACTTTCAGTATATGCCCCCTCTGTCTTCCTTAGTTTTGTCACTTGGTCGTTCACCGACATTTTTCTTCTTATATGACTGTGTAGTAACTTAGGTTGTTTTTTCGCTTTGATTGCAATATTGTTCTCATAGTCCCTTTCCGATGATCGTCTTATGTTAATGTAATCGTTCCTAGCTCTGTTGCATCTGATCCTGTTGTCCTCTGTCCTTTGTCTTCTGTACTTCCTCCACTCCGGCCTGCTGGTCATTTTTGCTTCCTGACACTGTCTATTAAACCATGGGTTATTATATTCCTTCTTATTTTTTCCCTTTACTGTTGGTATAAATCTCTCTTCGGCCTCCTGGCATTTCTGTATGACTATGTCCATCATATCTTGGACTGTTTTTCCTCTTATTTCTTCCTCCCACTGCACTTCACCCAGATAGTCCCTTATCCTCTTATAGTCCCCTTTCCTGTAGTCAACTCTCCTTTCCCAGATCTCTTGTCCCATGGTCATAAGTTTGAATTCCATCATGTAGTCAAAGACTAGGACACAATGGTCGCTGGCCCCTAGAGGTATTTCATGCTCTAAATTCTCGATATATTCTACGTTCTGGGTGAAAATCAGGTCTAATAGGCTCGGTGCATCTCATCCTCTTTCCCTTGTGTCTTCCTTCACATGTTGTGTTAGGAAATTCCTGTCTATAACATCTACTAATTTTGCTCCCCACGTTTCGTCCCCTCCATTGGGATTCCTTGATTCCCAATTTATCTCTCCATGATTTAGGTCCCCCATGATCAGCAGCTTCGCTCTCATTCTGTGGGCTAGTGTTGCTGCCTTCTGCAGTTCATCTATACATGCTTTGTTGTTGTCATCATACTCCTGCCTGGGTCTTCTACTGTTTGGTGGGGGATTGTAGATTACCAAGATCACAATCTTCCTCCCATCTACTGTCAGAGTTCCATGTATGAAGCTTGTGCACTCATTGGTAACTCGATTTCCCAGGTCTTCAAACTTCCATTTCCGCTTTATTAGGAGTGCTACTCCCCCTCCCTGTCTCTGTATCCTCTCTTTTCGTATAACCTGGTACCCTTCAGGAAAGATTGCATCTGAGATCATGTCATTAATTTTAGTTTCCACAATTGCATCTATGTCAGGATCTGCTTCACTCACTCTTTCTTTTATCTCTTCTGCTTTATTAGATACCCCATCAGCATTGGTGTACCAAACCTTGAGATTCTTCATGGAAACTCTTGTACTCTGGTACAACTCTTGTACTGCTCTTCCTGATTTCCTCTTGAATATAATCCATAAACTCTTGTTTGAGTCTTTGAACCTCATCCTGTATCTTATTAAAGACCTCACTTTTAATCCCCCTGGATTAGATCATCTATCCAAACATCCCTCTTCTCTACAAATTTCCCAATCATCTTCTCCACAAACCTATCTTCTTCCTCAATCATAATACTGTTGGACCTAGACACCCTTCCTGACCTAGTCATTGCTATAATACAACCTTACCCACAGGGGTTCCAAGTATCTTACCGTCCTGCTAACACAATAGGTGAGTGAATCTCCAAGCGTCGTCCCACGTGGTGGTAGGAGGGTTGCTGCCGGGGGTGAGGTCACGCAGTCAGAGGGCGGTGAGGACTGCTCCACACTGCACACTGCCACAGTACTTCTTCAACTATTTTGAATTACGCCATTTAAACTGTTTTTCTTCACTACCTTATGGCTTTGGTCAAAACCCAAGGTTTTTTCATTCACAAGGTGTGTGTTAATCTTTATCATCATCTCTCACAGAGGGAACTGCTTCGTCAACGTCGGCCATTGCCTCTCCAACTGCCGCGTCATCAACACATTGATATCCCAATCCTGGTCTACATAGGGGTCACTGAGCTAATCTCTGTATACACACACTCGTTCCTTCCGCAAGGCGCTGCTCCTTGTCCTAGGAATGGTGTCGTCCCTCCAACGCTCTCAGTGGGTGTGACCCGGTCACAGCAAGATTGCCCACCACACCATCCAGACCCTCAATCGTCAGGCGGCGCCCGCCATCGTCGTCGCCGACCGATTGCTCAAGTTTTGGCACTTCTTTGCCCAATAAACCTGGTTCTTCTTGCTTCCCAGAAGCACGGGGTCTCCAATGACAATAGTGGGCTGCGATGGTTGCCAATGATCCACTGAGAGAGACTCTCAGAGCCTCCAATCCTCAAGAGCTGATCGACGCACGTCCTTTCGCGTCCACAGGCAGGTCCAATCTGCCGTCACCTCCGCTGGCGCTGCCAGGGGCACTCGGTGATGTCACGGCGGACGCCGATTAGTCGTCTGTGGCATGTGATCTAAGCCAGTCACTCCGCAGTCGGTTGGCGTTGTCCATAAAATGGTGGCTTTGCAGGCAGGGACCGCCATTTTGTCAAACTTACAAATGCATATATCTCCCTTATCAGGCGGCCGATCTTGTCGCCACATATATCAACAGACTCCCTGCATGTCAGAGAATCAGCAGGGTCAGTAGAAATGACTCTTAAAGCCAGATCTGGTGAGAAATTTTAGGGGGGCTACGTAACAATATGTTGATAGATAGACAAATAGATTGACAGATGAGAGACACCCTTGCAACAGCGGGTATTCCCTCGTAGTATATTCATAAATCTAAGAAAATATCTCGGTAGAGGAATATCTCACCTAGGAATATCTCAATAGATAAATATTCCATGTAACTCTCTCTTATTATATGTAACATTGAGTACTGCTTCAGGCAGATGATATTACCTGAGCCACATATTATACTCTTCATGACAGGACGGTGCGACTTCTACTACTCAAGGGAAGGCTTCCTCTCCACTATATATGGCTTGATCGGCCGGAAGGGTAACCCACTAGTTCCAGCTATGAGCAAGAGGTGATAGTATAGCGAGTTTTCTGTTGTAATTCTGAACTTGATAAGTTTAATATCACCTTTTTTTTGTTTTAATACTATATACGTGAAACCAGATTCACTTAATTATGTAAGCATGGCTGTTAGAAAAGTAGGATTGTTTGCGAAGATTTGTGACATCACCCCGTCACGTTTTGTGTGTAAAGTGTTGATTTAGCGTCAAGTGTGAATTATCAACTCAGACCACAGGAACACAAAACAAGTGTTAAGTCAACAGACACAAACAATGCTTTCTTCCGTTATGTTAGGGGACTCTAATCATCCTATTCCTTGGTCCATTTAAATAATCTGTCCTGCCTCTACTCTTCACAGACGCCGTCTTGTTGACTCGGCTCTGATACCCAACCTACCCAACATGAACCTTAGTCTTGGCTTTGTTGATGTTGACTCTTCCCTTTCGTGGAACATGCTCAATTACTCAAACCAACTTAACAAACGTGACCTGACTTAAGCTTTGCTATTCTTATCTTCTTCATTCTCTTAATTGCGTCTTACCTTTCATCTCATTCTCTTACTTACAACACAGACCACAGAGTTGTCTCGACACAACACATACGGTTGGCCCTACACTTGGCTTGGCTTGAGATCATCTCTACCACAGGCGGAAGAGGTCGTCTTGTCTGAATCTCAACTGAATTACTTGCCTCTGATTTTTCCCGTCTCTGTCGCTGCCCTGGCAGTCACAACCTGGAACCATGGATCACCAAAGGTGTAGTATCCAAGCAGAGTTGGAAGCTCTTTGTCACCACCAGTTTCGCCCAACGACAAGGCTAAACTGGTTTGCCTCACATCAATGTGCGATGGTTGCCTGACTGACATGTACAACCGATTATCATTTGTTAAGTGTTGTAGAGCTTGATGCTACGACCTAATACATAATCCTAACGTCATCCTGTCGTCCAGTGTGGAGAGGTCCAATGACCTCAGTCTCTCCACTTAGCCACGAGTGTTTTGGTAATTCTCTTGACCTTTTCTAACTTCGTTTGGACCTTTCAGGTGTGCTTCATGATCGGTCAACATAGTCGACAATAAATCTTATGTGGTTGTATACTGAGTCCAAAAGACTATTTTCTAAAGTCAATAACAAATATTGAGACATATATACTGCCGACATTGCTATAGTAATGTGTACACTGGCATTAGATTTGGGTTGTCTACTTACATGTCTATTTTTTCTTATCTGATTAAGGTAGTTATATTGTTATTATTTTCTGCTTCTTCCAGGGATGTTGTCACTCCTGGTCCCCTCTTCATAACTTTGTGCTTAATTAAATAATGAAACATACCACCACACTACTCTATTCTCATTCTTATCGTAAAATTTGCATGAACAGCAAATATCGTAATGAATAAATCTATTTCATATCATTTCCTTGACATATCTTATAGTATACCTCAAAATCTCACCTGTGATTACAAATGTAATATTATTAATAATGAAAACTACATTTAAACACTGTAGTGGCCGATTGTTTGCTTCAGACTGATGGTAATGTCAGAATTTGGACTATATGACCACTGGCAGAAGGAGGTGGTGCCCAACTCCACCACGTGCCTCAACCTCCCAACCCGGGTCACCGTCAGCACCTCTCTCTCCATCACCCATCTCTGGGTAAGCTTACAATCCTCAAAACGTAACATTAAGACGTCAAAGATGGATATAGAAAAGTTGATAGATAGATAGATAGATAGATAGATAGATAGATAGATAGATAGATAGATAGATAGATAGATAGATAGATAGATAGATAGATAGATAGATAGATAAAAAATAATAGATGGTTAGATGGATAAACAGATAAATTAATAGATGGTTAGAAGGATAAATAGTAGATTAATAGATGGAAGGATAGATGGATGAGTAGATGGACGAGTGATAAATAGAAAAAAAGATGGATGATTAGGCGGATAAATGATAAATGGATGGAAATTATGATAGGATAGGGTATTAGTATGATTGGGTAAATGGAGAGGTTGTGGTAGATGGATTGATAGATGGAGGTATAAATGGATATCTGGGTATTCGAATGGATTGATGTATAGATGGATATTCGGATTGATAAATGTATAGACGGAAAAATAGATGAATAAATGGATGCTCAGAAATATATATGGATAGATGGGTAGATAGATGGATACATAGATAGATGCACAGGTAAATAGATGCATGGCTAGATTGATAAATTTAAAATTGTATAGATATAAGGACATATAGATGGACTGATGGACGGATGGATAGATATAAAGATGGATGGGTGGGAGATCGAGGGGTACATATATAGATGAGTGAATATAGAAACATGGATGAATGAATATAGATATAGATGAATGAATATAGATATAAATGAATGAATGCAGATATATAAATAGATAGATGGATAGATATATATACTGGTAAATGGATGCATCAGTCAGATCCTGTTGCCGTGTGTCCAATATGACTCCTGTGGGCGTGTGTCCAATATGACTCCTGTGAGCCATGTGTCCAATATGACTCCTGTGGGCCATGTGTCCAATATGACTCCTGTGGCCGTGTTTCCAATATGACTCCTGTGGGCCATGTGTCCGATATGACTCCTGTTGGCCGTGTGTCCAATATGACTTCTTTGGACCAGGTGTCCAATATGACTCCTGTTGGCCATGTGTCCAATATGACTCCTGTGGGCCGTGTGTCCAATATGACTCCTGTTGGCCGTGTGTCCAATATGACTCCTGTTGGCCGTGTGTCCAATATGACTCCTGTGGGTCATGTGTCCAATATGACTCCTGAGGGCCATGTGTCCAGTATGACTCCTGTGGGTCATGTGTTCATTATGACTCCTGCGGGCTATGTGTCCAATATGACTCCTGTGGGTAATGTGTCCAATATGACTCCTGTGGGCCACGTGTCCAATATGACTCCTGTGGGCCATGTGCCCAATATGACTCGTGAGCGCCATGTGTCCAATAGAACTCCTGTGGACCATGTGTCCAATATGACTCCTGTGAGCCATGTGTCCAATATGACTTCTGTGGGTCATGTGTCCAATATGACTCCTGTGGGCCATGTGTCCAATATGACTCCTGTTGCTGTGTATCCAATATAACTCCTGTGTGCCATCTGTCCAATATGACTCCTGAGGCCATGTGTCCAATATTTCTCCAGTGGGCCATGTGTCCAATTTGACTCCTGTGGCCGTGTGTCCAATATGACTCCTGTGGGCCGTGTGTCCAATATGACTCCTGTGGGCCATGTGTCCAATATGACTCCTGTGGCTGTGTGCCCAATATGACTCCTGTGGCCGTGTGTCCAATATGACTTCTGTGGGCCGTGTGTCCAATATGACTCTGCTGGGCCATGTGACCAATATGACTCCTGAGGCCATGTGTCCAATATGACTCCTGTGTGCCATGTGACCAATATGACTCCTGAGGCCATGTGTCCAATATGACTCCTGTGGGCCATGTGTCCAATAGGACTCCTGTGGCAGTGTGTACAATAAGACTCCTGTGGCCATGTGTCCAATATGACTCCTGTTGCCACGTGTCCAATATGACTCCAATGGACCATGTGTCCAATATGACTCCAATGGACCATGTGTCCAATATGACTCCAATGGACCATGTGTCCAATATGACTCCAATGGACCATGTGTCCAATATGACTTTTGTGGGCCGTGTGTCCAATATGATTTCGGTGGGACATGTGTCCAATACGACTCTTGTGGTCTATTTGTCCAATATGACTCCTGTGGGCCATGTACCCAATGTGACTCCTGTTAGCCATATGTCCAATATGATTCTTGTCGGTAAAGTGTCCAATATAACTCCTGTGGGTCGTGGGCCCAATATGACTCCTGTAGGTCGTAGGCCCAATATGACTCCTGTGAGCCATATGTCCAATATGTCTTCTGTGGTTGTGTCCAATATGACTCCTGTGGGCCATGTGTCCAATAAGATTCTTGTGGATCTAGTGTCCCATATAACTCCTGTAGGTCGTGGGCCCAATATGACTCCTGTTGGCCGTGTGTCCAATATGACTCCTGTGGGTCATGTGTCCAATATGACTCCTGTGCGCCATGTGTCCAATATGACTCCTGTGGGCCATGTGTCCAATATGACTCCTGTGGGTCATGTGTCAAATATGACTCCTGTGGCCGATTGTCCAATATGGCTCCTGTGGGCCGTGTGTCCAATATGACTCCTGTTGGTCATGTGTCCAATATGACTCCTGTGGCTGTGTGTCCCATATAACTTCTGTTGCCATCTGTCCAATATGACTTCTGAGGCCATGTGTCCAATATGACTCCTGTGGGCCGTGTGTCAAATATAACTCCTGTGGGTCATGTGCCCAATATGATTCCTGTGGGCCGTGTGTCCAATACGACTCCTGTGGCCGTGTGTACAATATGACTCCAGTGGCCTTGTGTCCAATATGACTCCTGTGGCCATGTGCCTAATATAACTCCTGTGGGCCATGTGTCCAATATGCCTTTTGTGGGCCATGTATCCAATATGACTCTTGTGGGCTATATGTCCAATATGACTCCTGTGGGTCATGTGTCCAATATGACTCCTGTGGGTCATGTGCTCAATATGACTCCTGCGGTCGTATGTCCAATATGACTCCTGTCGCTGTGTGTCCAATATGACTCCTGTGGGCCATGTGTCCAATATGACTTCTGAGGGGCCATGTGTCCAATATTATTTCTGTGGGACCTGTGTCCAATACGACTCATGAGGGCCGTGTGTCCACTATGACTCCTGTGGGCCATGTGTCCAATATGTTTCCTGTGGGCCATGTGTCCAATATGACTCCTGTGGGCCATGAGCCCAATATGACTCCTGTGGGCCGTGTGCCCAATATGACTCCTGTGAGCAATGTGCCCAATATGACTCCTGTGGGCCATGTGTCTAATATGACTCCTGTGGCCGTGAGCCCAATATGACTCGTGTGGCCGTGAATCCAATATGACTCCTGTGGGCCATGTGTCCAATATGACTCCTGTGGGCTATGTGTCCAATCTGGCTCCTGTGGGTCATGTGCCCAATATGTCTCCTGGGCCATGTGTCCAATATGAATCCTGTAACCGTGTGTCCAATATGACTCCTATGGGCCATGTGCCCAATATGACTCCTGTATGCCATGTGTCCAATATGCCTATTGTGGCCGTGTGCCCAATATGAGTCCTGTGGCCGTGTCCAATATGACTCCTGTGGGCCATGTGTCAAATATGACTCCTGGGAGCCATGTGTCCACTATATCTCATATGGGCCATGTGCCCAATATGACTCCTGTAGGCCATGTGTCCAATATCACTCCTGTGGACCATGTGTTGAATATAACTCCTGTGAGCCATGTGTCCAATATAACTCCTGTGGGCCATGTGTCCAATATGACTTCTGTTTCCATGTGTCCAATATGACTCTTGTGAGCCATGTATCCACTATGACTCCTGTAGGCCATGTGTCCAATATGACTCTTGTGGGGCCATGTGTCCAACATGACTCCTGAGGGCCGTGCGTCCAATATGACTCCTGTGGGCCATGTGTATAATATCACTCCTGTGGCCGTGTGTCCAATATGACTCCTGTGGGCCGTGTGTCCAATATGACTCCTGTGGCCGTGTGTCCAATATGACTCCTATAGGCCATGTGACCCAATATGACTCCTGTGGGCCGTGTGTCCAATATGACTACTGTGGGCGTGTGTCCAATATGACTCCTGTGGCCATGTGTCCAATATGACTCCTGTGGGCGTGTGTCCAATATGACTCCTGTGGCCATGTGTCCAATATGACTCCTGTGGCAGTGTGTACAATATGACTCCAATGGACCATGTGTCCAATATGACTTTTGTGGGCCGTGTGTCCAATATGATTTCTGTGGGACATGTGTACAATACGACTCCTGTGGTCTATGTGTTCAATATGACTCCTGTGGGCCATGTACCCAATATGACTCCTGTTAGCCATGTGTCCAATATGACTCTTGTGGGTAAAGTGTCCAATATAACTCCTGTGGGTCGTGGGCCCAATATGACTCCTGTAGGTCGTGGGCCCAATATGACTCCTGTGGGTCGTAGGCCCAATATGACTCCTGTGAGCCATATGTCCAATATGTCTCCTGTGGTTGTGTCCAATATGACTCCTGTGGGCCATGTGTCCAATAAGATTCTTGTGGATCAAGTGTCCCATATAACTCCTGTGGGTCGTGGGCCCAATATGAGTCCTGTGGGTCATGGGCCCAATATGACTCCTGTGGCTGTGTGTCCAATATAACTCCTGTTGCCATCTGTCCAATATGACTCCTAAGGCCATGTGTCCAATATGACTCCTGTGGGCCGTGTGTCAAATATGACTCCTGTGGGTCATGTGCCCAATATGATTCCTGTGGGTCGTGTGTCCAATACGACTCCTGTGGCCGTGTGTACAATATGACTCCAGTGGCCTTGTGTCCAATATGATTCCTGTGGCCATGTGCCTAATATAACTCCTGTGGGCCATGTGTCCAATATGCCTTTTGTGGGCCATGTATCCAATATGACTCTTGTGGGCCATGTGTCCAATACGACTCCTGTGTGCCTTGTATCCAATATGACTCCCATGGGCTATATGTCCAATATGACTCCTGTGGGTCATGTGTCCAATATGACTCCTGTGGGTCATGTGCTCAATATGACTCCTGCGGTAGTATGTCCAATATGACTCCTGTCGTTGTGTGTCCAATATGACTCCTGTGGGCCATGTGTCCAATATGACTTCTGAGGGGCCATGTGTACAATATTATTTCTGTGGGACCTGTGTCCAATACGACTCATGAGGGCCGTGTGTCCACTATGACTCCTGTGGGCCATGTGTCCAATATGTCTCCTATGGGCCATGTGTCCAATATGACTCCTGTGGGCCATGAGCCCAATATGACTCCTGTGGGCCATATGTCCAATATGACTCCTGTGGCCGTGAGCCCAATATGACTCGTGTGGCCGTGAGTCCAATATGACTCCTGTGGGCCATGTGTCCAATATGACTCCTGTGGGCTATGTGTCCAATCTGGCTCCTGTGGGTCATGTGTCCAATATGACTCCTGTGGGCCATGTGTCCAATATGAATCCTGTAACCGTGTGTCCAATATGACTCCTATGGGCCATGTGCCCAATATGACTCCTGTATGCCATGTGTCCAATATGCCTACTGTGGCCGTGTGCCCAATATGAGTCCTGTGGCCGTGTCCAATATGACTCCTGTGGGCCGTGTGTCCAATATGACTCCTGTGGCCGTGTGTCCAATATGACTCCTGTGGCCGTGTGCCCAATATGACTCCTGTGGCTGTGTCCAATATGACTCCTGTGGGCCATGTGTCCAATATGACTCTTGTGGCCGTGTGCCTAATATGACTCCTATGGCCGTGTGTCCAATATGACTCATGTCGGCCATGTGTCCAATATGACTCCTGTCGGCCATGTGGCAATATCACTCCTGTGAGCTATGTGTCCAATATAACTCCTGTGGTCCGTGTGTCCAATATGACTCCTGTGGGCCCTGTGTCAAATATGACTCCTGTGGGCCGTGTGTCTAATATGACTCCTCTGGCTGTGTGTCCAATATGACTCCTGTGGCCGTGTATCCAATAAGACTCCTGTGGCCGTGTGTCCAATAAGACTCCTGCGGGTCATGTGTCCAATATGACTCCTGTGGGCGTGTATCCAATATGACTCCTGTGGCCGTGTATCCAATAAGACTCCTGCGGGCCGTGTATCCAATATGACTCCTGTGGGCCATGTGTCCAATATGACTCCTGTGGGCCATGTGTCCAATATGACTCCTGTGGCCGTGTATCCAATATGACTCCTGCTGGTCATGTGTCCAATATGACTCCTGTGGCTGTGTGTTCAATATGACTCCTGCAAGCCATGTGTCCATGTGTCCTGTGGGCAATATGTCCGATATGACTCCTGTGGGCCATGTGCTCAATATGACTCCTGTGGGCCGTGTGTCCAATATGAATCCTGTGGGCCATGTATCCAATATGACTCCTGTGGGTCAAGTGTCCAATATAACTCCTGTGGGTCGTGGGCCCAATATGACTCCTGTGGGTCATGGGCCCA